AGTCTTTGGAATTCCTTGCCACAGAGAGCTGTGGGGGCAGAGACCTTGTGTATATTTAAGATAGATCAATTCTGGATCAGTTGCGGAATCAAGGGTCATGGGGAAAGGTGGGAAAGTGGACGTGAGGAATGTTGGATCAGCTGTGATCCTATTGAATGTGGGAGCAGTCTCAAGGTAACATCTCCCTCAAGATGTAATAGAATGGCCTACTCCTGTTCCTGTTTCTTAGGGTGTTATGGAGATCATAGATACATTGGTGTTAATTTTCCAAAACCCCTAAATTCAGGAAAGATTCCTTAAGAATGGAAAGTAGGAGATATGAGCCCTGTGTCCTAGAAGGGAGGGGGGCAGGGAACAGGGAACTCTAAGGAAAAACAGAAGTTGCTGGAAAAGCTCAGCAGGTCTGGCAGCATCTGTGAAGAAACAAATCAGAGTTAACGCTTTGGGTCCAGTGACCCTTCCTCAGATGGGTTTCTCAAAAGAGTTCTGGGGAAGGGTTGCCAGACCTGAAACATTAATTCTGATTTTTTTTTATTCACAGATGCTGCCAGATCTGCTGAGCTTTTCCAGCAACTTCTGTTTTCATTCCTGACTTACAGCATCTGCCGTTCTTTCAGTTTTAATTAGCAGGAAACCCTAGGCCAGTTAGCTTGACAGCTTACAGGGGAAGTTGCAAACTTACAAAAACTCAACTGGGGACAGTCAGCCTTGCTCTGTGAAAGGGAAATTGAGTCCAGCCAACTTATTTGAATTCTTCGGGTCGGGACCCTTCTTCCTCCAGCTCCATACTGTGTGCTTCCAGCTCCACACTGTATTGTCTCTGACTACAGCATTGGCAGTTCTTGCTATCTCATATTGGAATTCTTTGAGGGAACAACATTTAGATCTAACAGAACCGGTGAACTCACTACTGGGCATTAAAGGAGGAATTTGACATGATGTCACATCAAAAATTTATGGCTCCTGGAGTCAAGGGTAACAATTGAAGTTTATCGATCACTGGTTAGCTGGTAGAAAGCAGAGAGCCTGGGTAGATTGTCTGACAGGCAATTTGTCTGTGTCTGTGCTGGGAACTCAACATTTTGCAATTTATATCCAAAGCTTTGAAGTTGAGAGCGAAGGTGTAGTGGCTAAACCAGCAGATCACACAAAGACAGATGCAAAACAACACTGTGATGGTGAACTCAAACAACTTGCAAAGATAGGGTGGGTGAGTGGATACATAATAGGGGAACAAATGAAGAGAACTGAAAGGTAGAGGGTTACTCACGAGTGCAAAATTCCAAAATGCAGAGGGATCTGAGTGCACAACCTGGGGCACAAATTGGGGATGACATGAGGATATCATGTCTTCAGGAAGGCCAATAAGATGCTTTACTTTACTGCAGGAGAGGAACTGCATGTCAAGTAGGAACCTTATGGTTCAGATAGAAAGGTGAGACCACATCTCAAATACCTGAGGACAGTTATTGGTCTCCTGATGTGAGGACAGGTGTAAAGTGCATGAGAGTCAGCTCAGAGGGGGGTTGCCAGATAGAAACCTGGAGTGAGGGAGCTGTCTGATGAGGAGAGGTTGGATAGACTGGGCTTGTTTCTCCTGGAGGTTAGAAGAGTGGGATGACTTGATGAAAGTGTGTAAGATCCTGGGGAACGGTTTTGCATGTGGAAGGGTTGTTTCATTTTGCGGGTCAGCCCAGAATAGGGCAGTGAGGGAGGGAAACAGTCTTACAATGGGCACTTGCTTTTATCAGGATGGCAAAAAGATATTACTTTCCTTTCAGAGGGGTGAGGGATGTTGGGACTCTCTGGCAGTGGACGGAAGGATATTGGAACATCTTTCAGGTGAAGGTGAACAGATTCTTGTGGAATTTCATGGAATTTAAAACGTAAACAGATGATCTGAGTAAATAGTGCAACAGGCTCAAGAGGCTGAATAGCCTATTCCTGCTTCAATTTGCTATGGTACGGGTTGGTAAAGGCGGGGGGTGTAGGGGCTGGAGGATGTTACAGAGATAGGGAGGGGTGTAGGGGCTGGAGGGGGTTACAGGGATAGGGAGGGGTGTAGGGGCTGGAGGGTAT